AAAAAAAAAAAAAAAAAAAAGGACAGCAGGGGCTCACTGGTAACCACCGGTAGCAGCATTCCTCAGGAGGTCTCCAGAAGCCGCACCAAGGAGGATGTACCTATAACAGAGGATTTATTTTAAGGAACTGGCTCCTGCAATCATAGAGCAGCAAGTCTGAAATTTTCAGGGCTATTGGACACCAAGGAAAAAATCAATGAATGCTGCAACTTGGAGGCAGAATTCCCTTTTCCTTAGAGATGGGGACCTCATTTTCATTTTCTCTTTTTTTTTTTTTTTTTTTTGAGACAGAGACTCAAGTTGTCCCCCTGGGTAGAGTGCCGTGGCATAGCTCACAGCAACATCCAACTCCTGGGCTCAAGCGAGTCTCCCGCCTCCGTCTCCCAAGTTGCTGGGACCACAGGCGCGCGCCACAACGCCTGGCTATTTTTTTTCCCGGTGACAGCCATCATTGTTTGGCGGGTCAGATTCGAACTCGCCACCTTAGGTGTATATGGCTGGCGCCTTAGCCACTTGAGCCACAGGCGCCGAGCCCATTTTCGTTTTCTCTTAAGGCCTTCAACTGATTGGATGAGACTTGCTAAAGAGAAAATGACTCAAGGACACTTGCTAAAGCACAGTAGGGCAGACTTCGTTCAGGACCCTCCTCAGTAGGTATAGGGACCACTGCTATAGGGTTTGAACTTCATTTTATTATTATTATTTTTGAGACAGAGTTTCACTATGTCGCTCTAGGTAGAGTGCTGTGACATCACAGCTCACAGCAACCTCAAACTCTTGGGCTTAAGCGATTCTCTTACCTCACCCTCCCAAATAGCTGGGAATATAGGTGCCAGCCACAACGCCCAGTTATCTTTAGAGACGGGGGTCTCCCTCTGGTTAAAGGCTGGTCTGGAACCTGTGAGCTCAGGCAACCCACGTGCCTCGATCTCCCAGTGTCAGGATTAAAGGCGTGAGCCACTGCGCCCCGCCAGTGTTTGTGGGTTTTTTGGCAAGGTGTATGGGGCTGTGCGAATCCGTCTCTCTCGGGAGTGGGATTCGAACTCTCTAACAGACTGGGTCCCGCCTACAGGGTCTCCCCTGTTCTCTCTTTGCGGGGGCGAGGAGCGGCCGAGGGCAGCCGAGGACGTGCGTGCGTGCGTGGGTGCTAGCGGGCGGGCGAGTCCACGGGGAGGAGTGGCAGGGGGGTGGCGTCCGTGGAGCGGCGGGCAAGGCGAAGGGCACGCGCCGGCCTCCGCGCGACAAGCTCCCCCGCGCGCGCGCGGCGAGTGGTTCCGCCCGGCCCCCGGCTCATTGTGCTCGCCTCACGCCGGCCCAAGATGGCGGCGGCGCTGGAGGCCCCGGGCCTGTGACCACAAAGAGGGAGTTGGGGGCCGGACGGGAGCGCCGCGGCGGTAGCGGCGGCCGAGGCCAGGCCCCCCTCCCCTCAGTCTCCCGCCCCTCTGTCCTGCCCGCCCACCTACGCCTGCCCTCCCGCCGGCAGCCCCTCCCCTCCCCCAACCGCCCGACTAGCATGGTGCTGCGGCCGAGCTCGCTGACATGGGGGAGAAGCTGGAGCTGAGGCTCAAGTCGCCCGTAGGGGCCGAGCCCGCCGTCTACCCGTGGCCGCTGCCGGTTTACGTGAGTGCCTCTTCCTCCCCGCCTTTCTAGGTCTCCCCACCCCGCCGTCCCTGGGACCCCCGGCCTCCCCAAACTGCGCGCGCCGGGACCCTCCCCCCGGGAGACTGAGCGGCCGGACTCGGGAGTCACTGTTGGAGCCCCCTGTTCCCGTCTCCCTGGGAGCCCCGCGGCCGTTTCCCGGGGGGATGGCAGCCCGCGCGCGCTCAGAGTGGGAGCGGGCTCCCGGGCCGCGCAAGCCGGCCTTGCTGCCGTTGTCTTCGCGTGGCCGCCCCAGGGCGCCTGCGAGCTCGGTGGCTTTCGTAGTTGACGTTTCTACCTGAAGTTTTGTTGGCCGACTGGTTCTTGGCACTGTCAGTTTGCTCGGCTCCTTTATTTTATTTTTGAAGACACCTTTTCCTGTTTCTTTCTCCTGTTTTTTTTTTTTTTTCAATAATTAAGAATTTGATCCCGCCAATCTTGAACGAGCACGGCCAGCCTCACCCTTGGGGATTAGGAAATTTTGATTGCCTGGTCTTGAGTGGGCAGAACCGGTGTGACCTTTGGAAATCAGGAATTTTTGTTCCCTTAATCTTGAGTGGCTTAGGGGTGGCCGGACCTCGGGAAGTTAGGAATTTCTGTTCTCTTAATTTTGGGGACCCTTGGAAAACAACAGGCCGGTGGAAACGTACAAGGGCGTCCCCCTGGTTCCAGAAACACACTCGGGGCGCCGGGATTCGCTGTCAAGGCGTCGGCCCTTGGAGGCGGTGTGTATGTGTTCACCTGTCCCATTCTGTCCCTCCACGCTCGAGACTAGGCAGCTCGCGTTTTGGGTAGAAAGTGGAGCAGATGCCTTTGGTGAGCGATTTGTGGGCGCCTTTTTCTGTACGCGTAGTGTTTGGAGAATCTGCTTGCAGGGGCTCTGGCGGGGAAACCTGCATGCCGCGGGACTCTAGGGCGCTCTCGTGTCAGTTTTTGGAATCGTGGTTGCTGAGGGCGGAGTCAGGGCATGCTGAACGCCCGGATAGCCGGGGTTGGCTCCTGGCCCCGGGTTCTGGCAAGTAGAGGGTTCGGTACGGTTTCCAGCTCTTCTCGTGCTCTGCCGCGCTCAGTTCGCGCTTGGCCCGCGCCCGGAGGCTGGCTGAGATGGACCCTGGGGCTCTGGCTTTTCCGGTTGGGCAGCTCCGGGTATTCGCCTGGGCGTCTTGGGCAGGGATCGTGCTGAGAGACATCCAAGGACAGAAACTGAAAGTAGAGGAGGCGCCCAGTGCTCTTACCGGTTTCCACTTTAAGCACTCAACGCCTTCCAAACCTTTCCCGCCTCTGCCTCCCTTTCTCTGTGGCGCACTTATCCTGGGAAGTGGTAGGCGGCGTCTGGCCATTACGTTGTTTTAAACTTAATTTTTTTTTTTTTTTTTTTTTGAGACAGTCTCTCAAGCTGTCACCCTGGGTAGAGAGTTGTTACATCACAGCTCACAGCAACCTCCAACATTAATTTTCTTTATTTATTTTTCTGGTGCTCCAGGTGAGGCACATACTTTAATTTTCATTCTTTAATTTTTCCATAGTCAGAAAGCACATATGTAAACTTTTGGCAAAATGCTGGTTTTTCTTTACAGCTTGGAATCCAGTTTTATTGCTGGGGTGAGAGAGTGAGGATTGTGGGTTAAGTGCCTTGAGCTCATTTAGCCTCTCAGAAGCTGCAAAGTTGAAACTCTTCCAAAACGGATAATAATTTCCATGCCATTTACTATGTGAAAGTCTTTGGCTAAAGGCCTTATTATGAACCTGAGAAGCCAGAATGCCAGATGCTAGGTTCCATGACATCTTTACTCTAGATTGTATTTGGCCTGGGTCTCTCTGTAAAATTCTTGCTTAAAAGTGGAATACCAAGGCTGGGCATGGTGGTTCATGCCTTTCTTCCTAGTACTTTGGGAGACCAAGGTGGGTGGATTGCCTGAGCTCAGTAGCTCCAGACAAGCCCAAGCAAGAGAAAGACCCTGTCTCTAAAATTAGCTGGGCATTGAGGTGGGCGCCTATAGTCCCAGCTACTCGGGAGGCTGAGGCAAGGAATCACTTGAGCCCAAGAGTTTGAGGTTGCTGTGAGCTATGATGCCATGGCACTCTATCTGGGGCAACAAAATGAGACCATCCTCAAAAAAAATAA